AAAACAATATTTTACTGTTATCAGCGGGACGTTGACGTCACGCTGACGCCCAGATAAGGCGCTTGTCCTAAGAAACCAGACCTTAAGGAAAAAGGGGCACGCTCATTAAACTGTATGTAAGGTGTTCGACTCCGCGTACACGTCCTTGAGCTACTGAAATGGAAGAGCCATCACCTCTGCGGAGGAGCATAATTGTAATGGCATGTCTTCGGATCATCCTCAGTGATGTTTCCCAGACCGTCACCGATAGCATATTGTGCAGCTTTAGTGCAGCTTAAATAAAGTACTACCTACCCACCAATGATGCTAGATTTCGGCGATCAATTGGGAATATTATCTTTCTATTAGTCCACTGTGAGACTCTCCAGTGGTGAATCTAGGGGCGACTGTAACCGAGTGACCTTCTGTCCGAACTACCTGAAGTCTCAAGCCTGTTAGAATATTTGTTTATATATTGATTTATTTCCTATTCAATTGATAGCTTTTTAAAATTTTCAGGATTCCCTTTTTTTCAAAAGCTTTTCAGTCATAGTCATTTTGTTTGATGTCGTTTTTGTCTTAACTAAATTTTACTTCGCTTCAAATTTCGAAAACTTAAAACTCTTGTGTGGTGTTCTCTCGTATGAAAACTCTTGTATAAATTTCGTTATGTTGTAGAAAAATTTCCTCAGATTTCACAGAAATTCGGGTGCATTGTTTTTGCACTTTGAATAATAAAAATAACGGTAGAGAGAAGATTAAAAAAGAAATTGAATATACGTGTAAAATAGAAAAAAAACCTCGAGTAATTATAGGGCAATTATTGGATGTGTGAAACCTATATATTTTTTTTTACATATGGTGAACTTTTTGTAGAGTAAAACAAAATTGCTGCTTTTTAAAAGTAGTGAGTATCGAAAGGTTTGCTTGGAATAATGAAATGAACAATAAGTTAAAGCTTCAAGGTTCCAAAAAATATTTGTCAATGGAAAAAAAAATTAGAAAAAAATATTTTTAAACTGACTATTTGCGTTAAATAGCAGTCTAGAGCCTAAAGACTATTCCTTAAGTAATAGTAAAACTAAAGATTAAAAAAAAAAATTCCTGTATTTCATATAATAAAAAAGTTATATCATCTTATAACAGCTAATTAGAAGTTTAGTTGAAATAAACTTTGAAATTTAATTTTGAAACATCTAATATTTCTGAATTTAAATATTGCTTAAATATAATCTGTTTTTGCATAAATATATTAGTGGGCTTTTGGAAGTCTTAATTTGGAACTTTGTCACTTTAGTTGTAAAGGCAAAAAAGGAAAAAAAAATCATGAACATATAACTACTAGTTGTGGTGGCTCAGTAAGCATACAATTGAAATTTTTTAGTTAATAACTACAAATATATATCTTACTTTTGTATCGAGACAAAATCTTCATCAGCAAATTTCGGGCCGAAACTTCTTAAAAATTCTATTTAACAAACAAAAAAATATAGTTAAGAAAAAATAAGTTAAGAAATATGTTAGAATGAATAATAATTATGAATAAATTTCTTACTGCTAAGAAACTTTAATACCTCGTTAAGAGGCTTTTTATAAACCTGAAAAATCTTGCTCTTTTTTTCACTCAAACTAAATAGTTTAAAGCAGACAAAAAGTGTTAAATCATTATGAATTATTCGATGAAAGTTTGTAAATGAAAATTTATGCAATGAGACAGTAAATAATAAGTTTAAAGTTATAATTATACATTACACTGAGTGTTTTGCAATCACTGCTCTTAATATATTTTTTCTGAATGAAGTTAGCAAAGTATGTACTACATTAAGGATCGCCTTGCGATAAAAAAAAATCGTTATCGAAATATGTACGTCGAATCACTAGTGCGTGTAGAAGAAAAACGTTAAAACCAATTTGATTGCCCGCTGAAACTTGGGTTTCTTAAACGCTTTTCATCTCCTTGCTCGCTTGTACTGTTGTCAAATAGTTCTTGATATCTTTAATCAGCTTCATCTTCCACTGCAGTGACTCATTAGAATTCTATAGCGCTTTCTCCTGATTTAAAGATTAAATTTTTCAACATAATTTTTGACGAGGCTTTTAAAATAAATGTAAAATGTAAGTATTAACTTTTTAAAAATATACATAAAAGGGATCATTATAAAAAGGGGCAATTTTCCTCTCCTTTTGAGGCTAGTTTTAGCCTTTTTTTAAAAAAAAATACTGAAGAGCTCGAAAGAGAGAAATTTATGCATTGAGACAGAGAATTAATGATCTATCAGAATTAATTTCCTTAAGATTTGCGTGGGTGCCTACCTCTTTTTTCCTTGAAAGTACTATTCGTTTTTTATTTTCGTTTTGCTTACAAGATAAGTTTAAGATTTATAGTTCGCACATTATATTTTAAAGTTTAGAAAAAAAATCTTATGATCATCGATGAAATTTATATGCATTCCAACACGCATAAAATAAAGTTTTGTGCATATTGTGCTAAACTAAAAAGTATAGGAGTGGTGCGTATTTTATCTATGTATTTATATGGAAAGTAAAGAGAAGAATGTTAAAACAAAGCTTGACTTACGTTTTGGAAGCACTCTTTCTATCTCTCCGTAATCCTGTGAAATAAAATGACATTATTTACAGTACAGAACAATTATTTAGAAAAAAATGTCGAATATTGAGAAAATGTTTTTGTAAAATAATCCAGAGTTAATAAGTTATTATAAATAAGGTGCCACGCAGTAAAAATTGTATCTTATGTAAATTGTTATTGATAGCCATTTAATAATAAAAAAACCTAAATAGATCATAACTTAAGTTTTTTTCTCTTATATTGCAAATATGATTAAAGTTTATCTCTTTCAAATTTCTCGTTTTGTTGAATACTGCAAACTTTAGGATTGAAAATGTTTACCATTTTCATTTTAATTAAATGCTCAGCATAACAAAATAATAATAATAATATTTTAAAATCCAGGTTTTTCAAGGAGACTAAATGGGAGAAAATAATTTAATTTTTGTCCCACCTAAAATGAAAAATGTGGGATGTATACTTGAAAAACAATAAAGTGGGATAGGGAGATTTTAGGTGGTAACAGAAGTTTATTAAAATGCATTTTTCGCTTAGAAAAAAACAAACTATTTTAACATTTTTAGTCCACCTGAAAAATGTAATTTTGAAAATTTCTGTTTTATTATTTTTATCTTTTTAGTTTAGTGTCTGTTTGTTTTTGTCGTAAAGCGGTCAAAACTTCGATTGCCAATAACGCTAAATTACGATTTTGATTTTAAGAAAGCAATTATAACTTGTATGTTCATCAGTCATTGAACACCAGTTTAAATTTGAGTACTCTAACTAGTAGGGAAGGGGTCAAAATTTTGATTGACAATAACTTCTGCTGACAATATTGTGGGAAAAATTCTGCCAGTAGGGGTCAAGAAAAGATTGAAACATCTATTATCCTATCTTCAGGATATATTTGTGCACTCTGGCTAGTCAGAAAGTGGTCGAAATTTTGTCAGAGATTTCATTTTTTTTGACAATAATTTCTACATGTATAGATCAGAATACTATCTGAACATATATTCTCATCAGATCTGACTCAGTACGGACTTGAGTGCCTTCTTTGTCGTCAGTGAGAGGTCAAAATTTTGAATGAAATATTTCACCCCAACACTGACGAGAGTAAAATTAAAAAATGTGGCGAAAAGAGACTTTTTGAATTTTTTTTATTCGCCTTTGAATTCTCAGCTGTTTTTATATTGTTATGCCTGATATGGTCGACTTCTTATAATTAATAAGATAACTACTGGGTAATTTAAAAAAATCACGTATAGACTTGGAAGGGAAGTGGGGCACATCATAAGGATTAATAATTGCTTGGGAAATATCGTACGCTGCTAGGGGTGCTTCTCTATTATGAACTGTTTCTATGTGTGTCTTCGAACAGATACTTTTAGTTATCTTAATTTTAATGTTTTATAATAAATATTGTCAAAAATTGCCTTTGAATTGGTTCAATAATTTAATTTCAATAATTTAATTTTGATTTGCTGATTAACTTAACTAGCTCGCCAAATACTTAAATTACGTTACGTTTCAGAGGTAATTAGAATGCAATTTTCCGCAATAAATATAAGGAAACCTTAAGATTAATATAATGTAGATAAATAAAAGTACCTCCACACGTAGAAACAGTTCATAACAGGAAAGCATCCCTAGCGGCGTACTTTGACATTTCCGATCATGGGTTCCTATGTAATTTTTATTTCTTATGATGTGCCCTACCTTCTCATCAAGTTAGTACTATGATTTTAGAGTCGCCCTATATATTCACCAATGATTTACCTCAGAAGCTACTTCTCCGAGAAAAGCGTAGCACATCAAGCATTCTAATAGTTGTTGCTCCAGTTCTCGAAGCTCACTAATTGATAAAAATTCATAACAGTATAAATGATAAAAATTTAACAAACTAGTAGATTATCTTATTAATATGATATATAATAAAATACTTACTGTTTTTATATTGTACAATACGTCAATGTTCTATCAAACTGGTATTTTCTGTTCGAATAAATTTTTTGTTGTTGTAATTTTAATAAAAATTTCAATTTTGGTAAAGATGGTTGTTTCTTAATTTATGAACTACATAATATAAATAATGTAAATAATACAAATAATATAAATGTAGTATAAATGAGCTATATATTCAGTTTATTAAATTTTTTAACAAAAAATTTGTTAAAGCCCGTTTTTAAATTTTACACAACTCATAAAATCCGCGGTATAAAAATTAGAAGAAAACAACATTATTTTAGTAATTTTATTTCATTAAAAAAACAAGAATTCAAAATTAAAAATCGAATGTACGAATTCTACAAATTACAGGTATGTTAATTTTAGTGTTTTATCTGCTATACCAATATATTCCATAATTATATGAGTTTCAAAGTCAGGAAATTTGGCAAGCCGATCGAAATGTAATGAAGTTTGTGAGTGTTCATAAAATAAGTCGCATATTCTTTCAGTCCAATGAACATTTCAGTTGCCATTCTTGAAAAATAGAAATTGAAAACAGCATACTCATCATAACGATATTGATTAAAAGACCACATCCGATCACCCAGAATGCTTCAATAAAAGTACCAGTCTATTTTACTCGGTACCTGAGTGAGCGGAACCCATTCATAAGAAGAAAAACACCTCCAAATATCATAGATCTAGCTTAGGCTAAATAATAATTTTAATAATTTCACTAGATATGATTAGTCCCGCAGTGGTCTGATTGTAAGACATGATTCTCAGTAGATCACGGAATTCAATCATAACTGGCAACGGTCAGAGAGTGGGTGACCACTTTGATCAGTCTGCATAGGACCGAGGGTGTGCGGTACCTCGGTCCTTCACAGGCTGATCGCTCTTCGTTAGGCTGTTCTACGGTAAAATGCTTGATTTCGCACACAAGTCGTCAGGTTAACAATGCTGGGAAGCCATTCCAATCATAGGATTAAAAATGTGATAACATGCCTCTGTATCAGCCTCAGGATTATTCCCCAGACTGTCGCTTATTGGCCAATGTGCAGTTCTAATGTGACGTAAATAAATTAATACTACTGGCGTGATTTATATTTCACCCAGTGAATTTATAAATGCCGTAATAAAAACGCGAGGAAAAAATGGTTTATTTTGAATAACGTTCATCTATTTCATGCTTACTAGCATAAATAAAATAAAATAAATAAAATAAAATAAAATAAAATAAAATAAAGAAATATTGAATCTTTCTTATTGCAGAATCGTTTGAAGTTCCAGGATCAACTAAATGCGCCATGCTTTAGCCAATTCGTAGTATGTCAACTATTCGAATCACGGTATCTAATGTTTTATTTTCGTTCTACCCGAATGCCGTATCTTCAAGTTAGCTTTTTCTCTCCACATTTTAAAGGTCTGAAATCAGAGGTATCCAAATTATAAAAAAGTCTTTTCGGGTGTCGTATTACTTAATATACAGTCTCATTATACTACTTATAAATAAATTTAAAGTCTGCACTTCGAATCTTTAAAATCGCGTCATATTACGTAAGAAATCCTATCATTATCTAAGAGTTATTTAGTATGCAACTTTTTCATCTTGTGAACTTCTTCAAAACATCGATTCTCAGGCGAAGATATGGGTTAAACTGTGTTCTGAAAGTGGTAAGTAGAATCGAATCAAATGATTCTAATTTGTTTAAATTTAACATCTCAATAAAAAGGAATGTTTTAATCCAAAAATAATACAACTTGAACATCTTTGAATTACAATTTTTAATAAAATCATTCAAATAACTTAAATTAATCGCTTAATTCGAATAACTTTATTATTAAATTAAGTGTTTTTCTTTGAAATTACTGCTGGTTAATGAGTCGTATGTCTATACCAATTATTGCTCTATTTTCTGTCAGAATTAAACGCTGATTCATTCTTGTTCTTTGAAATGTTCAAACTGCATTTTAATTTATTAATTTTAAAATGCAATGGAAGGATTTCGACAAGCTTAAGTGAACTAATTAGTTAAATTTTAATTGCTAGTGATTCGTTTAGCACAAATATAGTTATTTGTATAAATTNTGGAAGCACTCTTTCTATCTCTCCATATTCCTATGAAGTGAAATGACATTATTTAGAACAATTATTTAGAAAAAAAATGTCGAATATTGAAAAAATGTTTTTGTAAACTAATCGAGTTTATTATAAATAAGGTGCCACGCAGTAAAAATTGTATCGGATGTAAATAGTTATTGATAGCCATTTAATAATAAGAAAACCTAAATAGATTAGAACTTTTTTATATTGCAAATATGTTTAAAGTTTATCCCTTTCAAATTTCTCGTTTTGTTGAATACTGCAAAGATTTAGAAGTGAAAATGCTTACCATTTTTATTTTAATTAAATGATCACCATAATAAAATAATGATAATAAAAGAAATATTTTAAAATCCAGGTTTTTCAAGAAGATTAAATGGGAGAACATAATTTAATTTTTTTCACACCTAAAATGAAAAATGTGGGATGTATACTTGAAAAACAATAAAACAAATTGGGAGATTTTAGGTGGTAACAGAAGTTTATTATCATGCATTTTTTTCTTAGCTCGCAAGTTTGAAAAAAAATGCTTTAACTCTTATAGTCTATCTGAAAAATGTAATTTTTAAAATTTCTGTTTTGTTTTGTTATTTTTATCTTTTTAGTTTAGTGTCTGTTTGTTTTTGTCTGTTGTCGGTCCAAACTTCGATCGCTAATAACGCTAAATTACAATTTTGATTTTAAGAAAGCATTAATAACTCGTATGTTCATCAGTCATTGAACACTAGTTTAAATTTGAGTTCTGTAACTAGTTGGGAAGGGGTCAAAAATTTTTGATTGGCAATAACTTCTGCTGACAGTATTATGGGAAAAATTCTACCAGTAGTGATCAAGAAAAGTTTGAAACATCTATTATAATATCTTCAGGATGTATTTTAGCACTCTAGCTAGTCAGAAAGTGGTCGAAATTTTGTCAGAGATTTAATTTCTTTTGACAATAATTTCTACTTGTATAGATCAGAATACTATTTGAACATATATTCTCATCAGATCTGACTCTGTACAGACTTGAGTGTATTCTTTGTTGTCTGTGAAAGGTCAAAAGTTTGAATGAAATATTTCACCCCAACACTGACGAGAGTAAAAATAAAAAATGTGGCAAAAAGAGACTTTCTTTTAAAATTTTTTATTCGCTTTAGAATTCTCAGCTGTTGTTAAATTATTATGCCTCAAATGGTCGACTTCTTATAATTAATAAGATAACTACTGGGTAATTTTAAAATCACGTGATAGACTTGGAAAGGATGTAGGGCACATCATAAGGATTAATAATTGCTTAGGAAATATCGTTCGCCGCTAGGGATGCTTCGCTATTATGAACTGTTTCTATATGTGTCTTTGTACAGATACTTTTAATTATCTTAATTTTAATGTTTTCTAATAAATATTGTCGAAAATCGCCTTTGAATTGGTTCAATATTCATAATTTATTGATTTGCTGATTAACTTAACTAGCGAGGCAAATCCTTAAATTACGTTACGTTTCAGAACTTATTAGTATGCAATTGTCCACAATAAATATTAGCAAACCTTGAAATTAACATAATGTTGATAAATAAAAGTACCTGCACACGTAGAAACAGTTGATAATAGGAAGGCATTCCTATCGGCGTACGTTGACATTTCCGATAATGGGTTCCTATGTAATTCTTATTTCTTATGATGTGCCCTACCTTCTCATCAAGTTTGTTTTATGATTTTAGAATCGCCCTATATATTCACCAATGATTTACCTCAGAAGCTACTTCTCCGAGAAAAGCGTAGCACATCAAGCATTCTAATAGTTGTTGCTCCAATTCTCGAAGCTCACTAATAGATAAAAATTTATAACAGTATAAATGATGAAAATTTAACAAACTAGTAGACTATCTTATTAATATGATATATAATAAAATACTGATTGTTTTTATGTTGTGCAATATGCCAATGTTCTACAAAACTGGTATTTTCTGTTCGAATAAATTTTTTGTTATTGTAATTTTAATAAAAATTTCAATTTTGGTAAATATTGTTGCTTCTTAACTTATGAACTACATAATGTAAATAATGTAAATAATACAAATAATATAAATGCAGTATAAATGAACTATATATTCAGATTTTTAAAATTTTTTTGCTAAAAATTTGTTAAAGCCCGTTTTTAACTCATGAAGTCTGCGGTATAAAAATTTGATGAAAAACAACATTATTTCGGTAATTATATTTCATTCAAAACAAGAATTTAAAATGAAAAATCGAATGCGAAAATTTTTACAAATTACAGGGATGTTGATATTAGTGTTTTAACTGATATGCCAATATATTCCATAAATTTATAGGTTTTAAGTCAGGTAATTTGACTGGCCAATCAAAATATAGTTAATGGGGTTCGTGAATGTTCATAAAACAAGTCGCATATTCTTCCATTCCAATGAACTTTTCAGTTTTCATTCTGGAAAAGTGGAAGTTGTCAACAGCATATTCAGATTGATATTGATTAAAAGACAACACCTAATCACCCAGAATGCTTAAATAAAAGTACCAGTCCATTTTACTGGGTACCTTAGAGAACGGAACCAATTCATAAAAAGAAAATCACCTCCAAATATCATAGATCTATCTTAGGCTTAATGATGCTTTTAATAATTTCGCTAGATATGATTAGCCCCACAGTGGTCTGATTGTAAGATATCAGTCTCAGTTGATCACGGAATTCAATCATAACTGGCAGCGGTTAGAGAATGGGTGACCCCCTTTGATCAGCCTGTGAAGGACCGAGGGTGTGCGGTACCGCTCTTTGTTAAGCTGTTCTACGGTAAAATGCTTGACTTCGCACACAAGTCGTCAGGTTAACAATGCTGGGAAGCCATTCCAATCATAGGATTAAAAATGTGATAACATGCCTCTGTATCAGCCTCAGGATTATTCTCCAGACTGTCGCTAATTGGCCAATGTGCAGTTCTAATGTGACGTAAATAAATTACTACTACTGGCGTGATTTATATTTCACCCAGTGAATTTATAAATGCCGTAATAAAAACGCGTGGAAAAACGGTTTATTTTGAATAACGTTCATCTATTTCATGCTTACAAGCATAAATAAAATAAAATAAAATAAAGAAACATTGAATCTTTGTTATTGCAGAATCGTTTGAAGTTCGAGGATCAATTAGATGCGCCATGCTTTAGCCAATTCGTAGTATGTCAACCATTCGAATCACGGTATCTAATGTTTTATTTTCGTTCTACCCGAATGCCGTATCTTCAAGTTAGCTTTTTCTCTCCACATTTGAAAAGTCTGAAATCAGAGGTATCCAAATTATAAAAAAGTCTTTTCGGGTGTCGTATTACTTAATATACAGTCTCATTATACTACTTATAAATAAATTTAAAGTCTGCACTTCGAATCTTTAAAATCGCGTCATATTACGTAAGAAATCCTATCATTATCTAAGAGTTATTTAGTATGCAACTTTTTCATCTTGTGAACTTCTTCAAAACATCGATTCTCAGGAGAAGATATGGGTTAAACTGTGTTCTGAAAGTGGTAAGTAGAATCGAATCAAATGATTCTAATTTGTTTAAATTTAACATCTCAATAAAAAGATATGAATTAATCCAAAAGTAATAAAATTCGAACATCTTTGAATTACAATTTTCAATAAAATCATTCAAATAACTTAAATTAATCGTTTGATTCGAATAAGTTTAATGATTAAGTGTTTTTTCTTGAAATTACTGCTGGTAAATGAATCGTATGTCTATACCAATCATTGCTCTATTTTCTGTTAGAATTAAACGCTGATTCAGTCTTGTTCTTAGAAATGTTCTAATTGCATTTTAATTTATTAATTTTAAAATGCAATGGGAGGATTTTGACAAGCTTGAGTGAGCTAATTAGTTAAATTTGAATTGCTGGTGATTCGTTTAGCTCAAATATAGTAATTTGTATAAATTTAAACCATTTTTTATTTACCTTTGTAGAACAAACAATTTATCTTCCATATCATTCAGTTGTTCCAGTTTCTTATAATTACTTTTAGCCAAATCAACTACCCTAAAATATAAATCGTAGAATAACTAACGTATAGTGATAGTTACGTTACAATTCGTTAGCCAAAAACACAAAGCAAATTCCCAGCACACCATTTAATCGTTTAAAAAAATTATTGATTCTAAACAATTTCATGTACAGGGTGTTCTGTTACGAAAACCTTTAATATATAATTTTCGAATTATTGTCAAAATTAAAGTAAAAAATGTACGCAGTAGGAGCTCTAATTTAATATTTAAGCCTAAATATACAGTAACCCTATCGAAATCTGTCCAATTACTAGAAAGGTATGAAAAAAAAATCAAAGCCTGTTTAATTGCCTAACAAAATTTGGAAGAGTATCTGATATATGATTTTCAACTTCTCTTTGTTTCATAATGGCAATCAAATTTTTCCCCCGCAGTTTTCAGTCCAGCGCTCCGCAGTTGTAATTTCTTAGATCGTTATAGTGTTATATCGTTGTGATTCCTAATGTGCTGATTTTATTTTAGTTTAGCTTAAAATAGGAATTTAAAATTATGCATCAATACAGGTCATTTGGAACACCTTGTAATGCATTATATCGTAAGCAAACGCAGCTCGTGTATTCTAGAATTAAGATTTTAAAATATTCCTTTCTTTTAATTGGTAATTTTAACTTTTTATGGGGTAGAAACTGTGCCAAATTAAAAAAAAATATATATAATTGAAAAAGCTTTAAAATGACAAAAACTACTTTTGAAAACTGGCAGAGGCGGCTTCGTAGTTACTCTGTATGTAATCGAAAAAATTTGAAATATCGTCGCTTAGCTTTTTTGCGTCCTGAGTTAGTTCGGTGTTCATGTCTTGAATTTGTTTCTTCATCTTCTGTATCACTCTTTGTCTTACCAGTGAAGAATGCTGAAACAAAAAAACAGAATGAAAACGATTTGTATTGTTGGGCATTTTTTTAATTTCTAAATTTCTCCTTAAAATCTAACCTTAATATTTTTTTAAAAACATTTTTAAAGGATTCCGAAATACATCAGTAAACATTCAGTAGGTCACAAAATTACAATTCAGCTTAGCTATAGTGAATATTAATTACTATAAGCTGTAACACTTTGGTAACTCAAAGCGTCATGGAAGTAGGTCACAAAATTACAATTCAGCTTAGCTATAGAGAATATTAATTACTATAAGCTGTGACACTTTGGTAACTCAAAGCGTCATGGAAATAGGTCTAAAAATTACAATTCAGCTTAGCTATAGTGAATATTAATTACTATAAGCTGTGACACTTTGGTAACTCAAAGCGTCATGGAAGTAGGTCACAAAATTATAATTCAGCTTAGCTACAGTGAATAGTAGTTACTATAAGCCGTGAAACTTTAGTAACTCAAAGCGTCATGGAAGGTCAAAATTACTAGAAGCTATAAAAAAATTCGACTAATCTAAAATTGAATAAAATATTTCTTCTTCTTTCTGTTGTCATTTTCTCAATGAGTTAATGTTTAACATGAGTTAATGTTTAACTTATTTTTTTAAAAAAAGCAAGGTGATATGTAGATTAATAATTACCTCATTTAAAAGAATTTCTGTATTTCTTTCAATATAATCTGAAACATTTTTACTACCACTGACGTGAACTAAAAAATATAAGAAATATTAATTAGAAAACAATGAATGTTTTTAAGTACATTAAACATTATATCAATGTTTCTTAGTGTTAAATAAGACTACATTCTTTGTAAATGTTTGAAAGTTGTATTTTAAATAGCCCGCAAATTAGAAATTGTTTCTGTTACATTAAAAGGGATGGGGCAGTATATTGACAAGCCACCTTTTTTTCTGTAGAGTTGTTTTTAAAATTAGGCACTTTAAAACATAGGTACTTTACAAGTTTCCTGAATTTCCACCAAATAATAGCTTATCAATCGGTTTTCAATGATGGTGAGTGAATAGAGCAAAGACCCTTGCATAACATAAAAAAAAAACGTTACTTTAATTGAAGTTGAAAATGTTCTATATTAAAGTGGTTTTTATATCTGTGAAATTGGATTTGAATTGGAAATTTGCCGGACTCTGCTAAAGCAAATATTCTCTCTCTCTCTTACAATTCTTTTGCAGACGTAAGCAACAGTGGTCCGATGACCATTGGTCTAGAGACTAATCAACATACCAAACCAATAACGATATAACTTGATTAAAGAATACTTTATTGGCTTCAAAAATATGCAGATTGAAACAAACGTCGACATGCACTCAAAAATAAAAGCCAATTTTCAAGACTTGTTGGACGTGAATGAGAAAAAAACCAAATGTGATTTGAATTATAAAACCTAAAGTTGCCAACGAAAAATAGAAAATAAAGGTGAGAAACAAAAATAGAAAAACCAAAGAAGCAAAGAGAAGCGCATTAGGTTAAAATGCATTTCCAGGCGCTATGGAGAGGTGGCGAGGAACTAATGTAATTAACAAGAAAATCAGCATTCATGTAAATGAATCAAGAGCATCAAAATGAGCTGATGTGATGGGGTGGATAAAATAGGGTGGGGTATATGCCATATAAATTATTTCCACCCCAGTCACATTGGCTCATTTTGATGCTCTGGAATCTTGATTCATTTATATTAATGCTAATTCCTTTTTTAACGACATTCGTTCCTCGTTACCACCTCTCCATAGAGCGTAGAAATGTATTTTACTATGATTTGCCCCTCTCGGCTACTGCGGTTTCTCTAGTTTTGGTTCTTATCATCCTTTCCCCCATTTTGTAGGCAATTTTAAGTTTTTACTTCAAATAACTTTTGTCTCTTTAAGCGCATTCTACTTTTGAGCGATTGTAACACGTCGACTTTTATTTACATCTGCATATTTTTGAAGTCAATGAAGTTTTTTAAGCAAGTAATGTCTTAGAGCATCAATTTCTTGAGATTATTTATTTAAATAACGATATAATCATTTCTACAATAAGAAAATAACTTCATAAATATTTCCTCAATGAATTACAAATAACTTGGAGGCTTCGCCCCCTGCTCGCTAGCGCTCTCCAACCCCCCGAACTGCTTTCGCAGTTCATTTCGGATTGCTTCGCAATCCGATGCTCGCTTTGCTCGCTCATTGGATACGCTCTTAACGTCTAGCTTTTGTATACTTTTTTGAACACTGAAGTTCCGAAAACTGAAAAAAATTCTAAACCTGTGCATTTCAATATTAATTTGAAATTGCAAACAGTTCACATATTTTTCTTAATCACTCTATTCTAAATTTCAGTTGTTGAGAAAAGTAACTGTTGTAAGTTTTGTTTTAAAGTCTTTCCCACCAGAGGGCTAAAACCATGTGTTTTAAAACAATATGAAATAGTACTGAACGTCGGATGTAAAGCATCGGCTTCGATGAAGATAATTTTGGGAGAATTTTTTTTGATAATTCGGTGAGAATTCACCCGATTAGACATATGATGCTCACTACGTGCTTTTGCGCGCCGAAGCCTATCAATTAAAACGTATTAGGGTTTTATATAACATGGATTAGCCATATGATGCTCACTACGTGCTCTTGCGCGCCGAAGCCTATCAATTAAAAATGAAAACTGTTGCCAGCGCGAGAAAAGAAATATCATCGGTTTTATTGATACATACATACGTACGTATTAGCGTTTCATATAATATAGATGGTATAAATATTCTTACAACTAGTGTTAGTTTAGCAACATTCTTCTTTGTTTATAATATAAATTAATTTAATACACGAGTTAGTAATAATACAAAATATACTTACTGCTTTTGGTTAAATCCAAAATGTAACCAGGATCAATCAAATGGTTTTCCATGTCTTTCAGCGCTTGTTGAACAAGCTTTGCTTCCTTTTCAGCTAAATTCCGTAAACTTCGCATTGTTAATAGGCACGAATCGGCTTTATTAATCTCATTTTCCTTTCTTTTTTTCTGAAATAGGTTAAACGCTGTAGTTATATTTGAACCAAATAATATTTCGTTTTTCATAGTTATTTAAATGTAATTTTGCTTCTGTTTTTATCGTATGTTAAATTAAATCCACTAAAAAACATGTTAAGTTTAGACACCAAAACTCCAACATGTTAAGTTTAGCTAAAATTTTGCTACTTAATTATAGCTGTAAAATATTTTATGTCCCAAGCAGTGCTTAAAAACCTCTTATATTGTGCAATTTTTGTTGTTGTTCTTATTGTCACTTAGACAAACCAAGCTCTAGAGCCATTGGCCTCGCGAATTAGGTCAGGAATGTGCGCTTTTCGCTTGACAAGAGAAGACTGCAAGGGTCAAAGAACGTCTTGGCTCAGAACCCCACGAATGGATGGCAGGACCACTCTTTTAAGAGGCTACTTCCTTAATTTAAACGTAGATCTGAAGGGGAAGGAAATTTTCACCAGATCCCAGTATCCACGGTACTGATCAGTAACCGACCACAGGACTATCGATTCCACAGATTTTGCAAGCACGTTTATTATGGGGCGTAACTACCACTACGATTATTGAACATCAATTCACTGGTATATAAGATATGCTAACATGATTCAATGTTGAGGTACCTTGTGATAGATGAAGGTTGGCATTGTCAATAACTCCGCCCCCCACATTGGTGACTTGCGGACGTGATCGCTCCTATCTTGACAGCAACGCCCACTTCGATCTCGATCTGGTAACACCTACTTCGATGGATGGTCCACATTGCACAGCTAACCTGCTACTTGTGACTGCGACATTATCCACCTCCTCACGCTGTTGCAACTCAGTCTCGTCTCGATCATACACAACGTCAGCTGCATACACTCGACTGCTAAATGCAACACAGGAGCGACACGACCGTGAAGTTAATACACCTCTCACATTCTACACTAAAAAAAACCCCAGTGACCTTAATCCAGCTCTCCCGGTTTTTCAAAAAACAGCAACTAGTGGTATCCGTTCATCGAATTCTATTCACGATAAAATTGTGGTAGGGGAGTATTGTGGCGTAACTACCACTACGATTATTAAACATCAATTCACTGGTATATAAGACATGCTAACTTGATTCAATCTTGAGGCAGCTTTTGATAGATAAAGATTGTCATTGTCAATAACTCCCCCCCCCCACAATTACTTGTTCGGATTCGAGGATTGAACCCCGGTCCTTCCAGACTAGAGTCTGATTCTCTACCCACTGGCTACCCATTGGTGATAAATTTAGTATGTTAATAAATTATACTTTTATTGTCATCAAGTCAAAGCTTTAGTTGAAATTTTTGATATCAAGCTAATTAAAAAGTTATCAAAATTTCGATTGTAAGACTTTTCTTCACAAACAGACACGAAAGCTATTTGGACAATTACAAGGTGTCTGAGCTTACATTTTGATAGTTTTTCTTACATTTAAACCAATCTTTTATTGATAAAAATTCTTTAAACATTATATGGGATGTTTTTTAATTCCTACTATTAGCTCACACTCTCCCAATATTTTGTTCAAATTTTCAATCGTTAATAAAATACTCTTTATTCATCCACTCAACTTCAAATACATTTTTTTTTAAAACTTGTAGTGGATGACACTTGATGTTAATGCAGTTTTTTCAAATATTAATTCATTAATTAAATAGAGATGAGTGAAAAACGAAATGGAATTTTCTGATTGGTTAAGCGTTAGTCATTGTTTTAAATTTTACTCAGTTTTTCCCATGTTTCAAAAATAACATCAGTGATAGTTTCTAGCTTATAGCTCTATTTGAACAAAAAAATAGTTTATTGCGTTCATTTAAATATTGAATTATTTTATATTCACTGTGTCAGATAAATTCAATAAAGAACATTACGTGGTAGCACGTGTGGTCCACGTTACTTAATTTATACTTATGGATGGTGTTTTCAATAGAAATGTAAACAATAACAATCTCGAGCTCGGGACCTACTCTAGTTCCGGTTAAAAAGTTTGCAGCTGCTTACTACATGTTATTCTGATAGGCGATGTTTTTAAACGGATAATTTTGTTTTCAATAAAAGAAATAAACTAGATAATTTCTGAGCTCAAATCTGCCGTATTTCATAAGATATTAATGTTATTATGTAATTCTGGGGAGTTTGGAGTGAAAATTTGTTTTAGTTATTTTGTTATTTATTATTAAAAAAGGTGACATGGTTGCTAGATTTTGAATAACTCGCTTTTTTGGCAGTCTTGATTTGGC